TGTTTACATCAGATGTCCAGAGCAGGCACAGCCATGGACACAGCAGGCAGACTGGTAGCTGCAGTGTTTCACTTTAGGATGATAAAAATGTTTTAAAATCGATTGTGGTGAGACATGCACAATTCTGAATACACTAGAAGCCACTGAATCATGCACTTAAAATTCACACATCAGCCGGGCACAGCGGTGCTAAGCCATTCCAGTGCTTTACAGGGCTGAGGCAGGAGGATCATTTAAACCCAGGAGGTCAAGGGTGCAGTGAGCCAAGACCACACCCCTGCACTCCAACCATGACAACAGAGTGAGACCTAGCTTCAAAAAAAAAAAAATCATACAAGTCATCCATTTAATCTCAAGGAAGCTACTGGGGGGGAAAAACAGTGACTGTTTAAGTGGATGGCCAATGGCTCCCTCAAACATGACAACAGTGTCCTGCAGACCTGCCGTGTTCAGGGTAGGAAACAGATGGCCTGTGAAGGAGCAGGTCTGACCAGTCCAGCCAGCGCAGCCCCTGAGCTGTGCCTTGGGGGTGCTCCTGCCCATGGTGGGAAAGCACCATCCATCGTGCACAGCCAGACACCTGATGTCCAGGGCCAGCATCCCGAGGGAGGCACTACCAGCCCCATGGTCAGCTGTCAGAACTGAGGGGCACAGAGAATCCCGTGGTCACACACACAGAACTTAAAGGCCAGGCTGTTTTCTGCAAGAGCAGCGTGCTGCTTAGACCTGACTACACCCATGTTTCTAGGGAGCACTAGGCCTCTGTGTGAGTTCCACACAGATAAACCACTCCTTGCCAAACCTGGGTACCATGGCTCCCCCATGGACATGAGGGGCTCCCTCGTGCATTAAGAACAGTACACGCCTCTTACCCATATGAGTGAGCCACGTGGTTACCTGCATTTCACAGTAGAGGAAGCCGAGTCCACAGAGGTTAGCAGACTCATCTGAGCCACACACAAGCTCCCCAGGAGCCCAGAGCTGGTCATCCCAGCACCGCCCTTGGCTGCACTGCTGGGCCAGGCCTTATAATCTGGAGAAAAGCAGGATGTGCCACCTCAGCCCTAGTCCCATAGGACCTTGGGAAGTCCAGTAAGCTCTGGGCTGGGCACTGTGATGCCATGAGCCTCTGCAGGCTTCCCTGTGCCCTGTCAGTACCTGCCCCTGCATGGCCCTGCTGCTGTGCCCATGGGGCAGGGGGCTCCCAGGGAGGAGGGCTGCACAGCCCGGGGGGGGGACCCACACTCCCAGGGACCCTGAAGCAGGCGGCATCTGAGCTGGTAGAACTTGGCCAGCATGTTGGCCCTGGAGACTTCTTGGAGTGGCCGCAGCATCTTCTCCTCCACCAGGTAAAGCTGATCACCTGGGTCATGTCCAGGTGCTCATTCCCTGAGGCAGCAGTGGCAACGTCAGCACCACTGAGTAGTTCCTAGAAGGAACACACAGGACAAGTCGCTGTGCCTGGCCGAGCCTTGCTTCTGGCTGCAGATGGGGAGCTTACAGGTCTGCAGGAAGAGCTCTGCCATGGAGAGCATGGGGGTGCCTCTCTGGGAGGGGCTGTCCTTGTTCTAGGAAATCCCATACTGAGGTGGAGGAGGACAGAGGCCGGCATGACAGCGGAGGTGGGAGTGAGGCCGGGACAGGAACAAGCTGCCCGATTTTGAGGACACAGATGTCTGATGTCATGCCTGATCTGTCCCCTGGGTCTTGGGCAGCACAGGGCCTGTGTGCAGGAATGCCAAGGATAGGAGCTGGAAGTTGTAGGAAACTGTTTTTTTGAGGCAGAATCTCATTCTGTTTCCCAAGCTCGGTTATAGTGGTACGATCGCTACTCACTGCGACCTCTGCCTCCTGGATTTAAGTGATTCTCTTTTCTCAGCCTCGAGAGTAGCTGAAACTACGTGCACTCACTGCCATGCCAGGCTAATTTTTAAATTTTTAGTAGAGTCAGGGTTTCACCATGTTGGCCAGGCTGGTCTCGAACTCCTGGCCTCAAGCGATCTGCCCAAAGTGCTGGGATTACAGGGCTGAGCCACTGTGCCCAGCCAACAGGTCTAGGAAATTTCTACAATTGAAGGGAGGACTGGAACTTTCTCAATATGTAGAGTAGGGTCAAGCCTGTGAGATCTGAATGATCAGGGAGATCTCTCAGCTCAAGTGGGGGTGGAGTGGGAAGAGGAACCTTGTTCACTCTTGTTGATGGGCCGGTGAGGGGGAGGGGCATGTAGCCTCACTTACCTTCTCGGGAGCCCAGAGACCCTGCAGGCAGCTGGGGACAGGAAGCAGCTTAAACACCCTCACTGCCAGTTGAATCCATTCTTTGTCACCCCCACCAAATCCCACTCACCAGGTAGGTGAATAACCAGGCAGGTGATTCTTCAACAAAGCCAAAGCCCCACCCTGGGAGCTCTTCCCTTCCTCAGCCTACATTCTGACCACAAGGCAGCAGGAGCAGGAACTTGTGTTACATGGAGCCATTTCCCCATGGTACGGGTTTAGTCCCTATTCTACAGCTGGGGAAACTGAGGCACACAGAGCCGATGCAGAGGAATCCCAGTAAGAGGCAGAGCCGGAGTCCACACACTCTGCAAGGCCACCAGCATGGAAGAAGGGGGCAGCCCCCTTGCCTGGAGCCCAGTTCCTGGTGGGCCTCATGGCTGTGAGGGAAAAGGATATTGGGTCCCCAGGTCCCTGATCTAGACTGGGTTCCCCACTTCTATCCACCACCCCTGTGTTCTCAACACAGGGACCAAAGGGGCCTTTTGAAGTGAAAGGGTGATCACATCCTTCCTAGGTCAGAGCAGAAGCCAGAGTCCTCCCCTCATCCCCCAGCTTGGGACCTCCCAGTCCCTCCCAGTTGCATCAGCCCCTCCACCTTGCTATTCAAACAGGCCAGGCAAGGTGGCTCATGCCCGTAATCCCAGCACCAAGTCTCTGGAGCCCAGGATTCTGAGACCAGCAATATTGTGAAACCCCATCTGTACTAAACATACAAAAATTAGCCGGGTATGGTGGTGAATGCTTGTAATCCCAGCTACTTGGGAGGCTGAGGCAGGAGAATTACTTGAATTTGAGAGAGATCACAACACAGCACTCCAGCCTGGATGACAGAGAATGGGACTCCATCTCAAAAACAAACAGGCTAGGCATATCCCTCTCCCAGCCCTCTATGCAGTGGTGCCCCCACCTGGAGCTCTGTTCCCACACTGGCCCCATGGCTCTTGCTTGAACTGTACCTTCTCCTCAAAGCTGGCCATGGCCACACCACAGGATCCCCAGCCCACCATCTCACCAATGTTCTTTCTCTAGCATTTGCCACCTAATGTATGGCTCAGTGGTGGTAAATAATGGGCAGTGGCCACATTCTGCATGGCCTGCAAGAAAGGGCTTTTATGTGTTTAAAAGATTACACAACAGGCCAGGATTGGTGGCTCATGCCTGTAATCTCAACACTTTGAAAGGCCAAGGGGTTTGCATCACTGAAGGTCAGGAGTTTGAGACCAGCCTGGAGTGGCAAAACTCTGTCTCTACTAAAAATGCAAAAAATTAGCCGGGTGCAGTTAGTGCACACACCTGTAGTCCCAGCCACTCGAAGGGCTGGGGCAGGAGAATCACTTGAACATAGGAAGCAGAGATTGCAATGACCTGAGATCACACCACTGAGACAGAGTGAGACTCCATCTCAAAAAAAAGATGATTACAAAACAAAAGCAAGGAAATGTGACATAGCAGAATGGCCTGCTTAAGAGGTGACTCTGAGGCTCTCTGCAGGGAGCGGTGTACACCCTGCTGCAGATGATTTTTTGGGCTTCATGTCTGTCTCTGAGTAAAACTAAGCTTCCTGAAGGCAGGGGTCAGGCTTGCCCACTGCGCTCTTCCGCAGCAGCTCCTAAAATCCTGCCTGCACTAGGACCATGCTCACGAGGTCTCTGTGGAGTGAGGAAGAAACCCCAGCTTCCTCTTCTCTGAAATGGGGAGTGAAGAAGCCTCTGTGCAGGGCAGTCAGTAGTCAGTGAGTCAGAGCATGTCGAAGCATTCAGCATTGTACCTGATATGGCCGGAACGCTGGATGCGCCACTCCCAACCCTGCGTTACCTGGTTACAAGGTCATACAGGTCCAGCAGGGGTTTGCAGAGCCTCTTCAGTGCCCGTGAGAATGTGGCCTCAGCCCAGGACAGCATCTGGTGGGCCACCTGGAGAGGAAGGGGACAGTGAGAGCTGTCTCGGTCATCCTCAACTGCCAGCCACACCCTATCCTTGCTCTCACTCACCAGCTCCAGGGTGACTTTCACAGCCCCCAGTGCTGCCCTGATGGGCCTAGGATCCTGGTTGCCTGGCATCCCGGGTTCCCAGGCCTGCAGCCACTACATGGCCTCCTCTGCCCGCTCCCACCACACCTCCTCCAGGGGCCACAGCATCACCTCCAGGTAGCCATCCTTCATTGTGGTCGGGGGCCTTTCAATGGGCAGCCACCAACCACTATGAGGCCTCTGGGCAGTTCAGAGGCCCAGCCCAGGCCTCGAGGAGATATAGGGTCTGTTCCTGGGATTAAGATGGTGGGGGAAGTGGGGGAAAAGAAATAGAGCAGCAAGCACTGGAGACTGCAGGCAAGTTGTCACAGTAGACCCGAGCCGCCTCTGTATGGCCTGCTCACAGGTTGTCTGGGAACTTGGACTGGGGGAGGGTTCCAACCAATCCTAAATGTGATGTGAGGCTCTCTGCACCTGTTTGTACAAATGTGGTTTATGCTGAACCCCTGCTTGCCTCCTAGGAGTCTGACAGTGTGCTCTGAGCCAAGCAGCACCTGCCGATGTGGCAGCCCCACTAAACACCCTGGGTGACATAGTGCTGGGACGGCCAAGTGCATCCTGTGTGAAGGTGCAGGGACTGGGAGAGGACACTGGGTGCTGGCCCTGGTTCCCCTAGACTCTGCCCTGGCCCCCTTCCCTGCGCCGACACTCCTGCCTCCTCTCACTGTAGTCAATGACAGCCGCAAACAGCACTCTTCCAAATTCACTGCCCTGTGGGTGGCCATGGGACTCTGGCACAGCAGAGAAGATATGGAGGTGACATTCAACAGCCAGTCAGAGGGACGCCCACCCTGGCGTTGGGCAGGGTGTTATCCCAGGATGGTGGAGAGGCCAGAAGTTCCTAGTCCTGCCAGGAGGGCAGTCGGGGCAGCCACTGTGAGCATTTAACAACCACACAGCCACAAAGAGCTCATCATGGAACTAGAAAGAGACCCTGTGGCAGTGAGCTTCACAGAAACAAGGCTGTACACTCGAAAGCAGGTGGAGGACTGAAGAAACTGAGGCAGCAGGCATAAGGGATATCAGCTTGGAGACCTTGTAAGAATGAGACAGCAACCCACAAAAAAATGAATGTTAGGCCAGGCGCGGGGGCTCACACTTATAATCCCAGCATTTTGGGAGGCTGAGGCTGGTGGATCACAAGGTCAATAGATCAAGACTATCCTGGCCAAAATGGTGAAACCCCATCTCTACTAAAAATACAAAAATGAGCCAGGCATTGTGCATGCCTGTAATCTCAGCTATGTGGGGGCCTGAGGCAGAAAAATCACTTGAATATTGGAGGCAGAGGTTGCAGTAAGCCTAGATCGTGCCACTGCATTCCGGCCTGGTGACACAGCAAGGATCCATCTCAAAAAAAAAAAAAAAAAAAAAAAAAAAAAACCGCCATTTGCAGGACTAGATATGAAAAGGAAAAAAATTGTACAAAGTTAAATGCATGCTGTAGAAGAACCACCACCTGTTCAGCTGCTGAGCACACCATCATTCCTAACTCAGCAAAAGAACCCCCACTCCAGGAAAAACTAAAAGCGAGCTGCTGTTTCCAAAATGCATTTTTATGGTTGGAAATCTGTGTTTCCCAAGCCCTCCTTCCAGTCCTTGGCACTGTGACAAGCGTTTCTCACCCCTGGGGATGTGGGGCTGGAGATGCAAAAGGGAAAGTCACCAAGGCTGAGTTTTAGCTGTCTGCATCCTTGCAGCCAGGGCCAGAGGGCCATGAGGGGTTCTCTAGCTCCCGCCGTCCATGCTGGACTCACAGGGCACGGCTCTGCTGCAGTGGCTGGGCTTACCTCTGTGAAGTGATTGCTCAGGGAGGCCCCGAGTCATTCTTGAAGGTCTGGGTGACACGGAGATGCCTCTTGTTGCTGCTCTCATCCCAGTGCTTCCCATAGCTCGCCTCCAGTTCAAGTGATTCTCTTGCCTCAGCCTCCGGAGAAGCTGGGATTACAAGCACCCACCACTATGCCTGGTTAATTTTTGTATTTTTAGTAGAGATGGGGTTTCACCATGTTGGGCAGGCTGGTCTTGAACTCCTGACCTCACGATCCACCTGCCTTAGCCTCCCAAAATGCTGGAATTACAAGCGTGAGCCACTGCATCTGGCCTTGTTTTTTTTTGTTTGTTTGATTTTTAAAAATTTATTATTGGTTTATTTTAGAGATAAGATCTCACTCCTACTCAGAACCCACAGAATGACTAATGGCAAATCCTGTGATGACAGCCTATCTTTGCTCATAGAGCCACAGTCACAGGAAACAGGGCAGGCCCCGCCACCTCCACCTGCCCCGCAGCCAGGCGTGCGGTGCCTTACCCAGGAGGCTATACTGGATCCTCAGGGAGTTGGTCCAGAGCTGGCCCCGCTGCTGCAGCAGGCCAAGGGCATGCAGCCCTGCCAGCCCTGGCACGAAGAGCTTGGCACCCAGGGCAGCCACCCACCGTCCATCCTCCTCCTTCCTTTCCAGCAGTGCTGCAGGGACAGAGAGCAGGCATGTGAAAGGGTCAGCCCCCAGGGACCAACACCCCCAACCCCAGGCAAAGAGGGGACTCAGGATACCCCAGGGGTCTTGGGGTTGGAGTTTCCTTGAAGAGTCAACATCTGTGCCCTGCACAACCAGCCACCGACAGGCCTGATCATGGCTCACTGCAGCCTTGACCTCCCAGGCTCAATCGATCCTCCCACCTCAGGCTCCCAAGTAGCTGGTACTACAGACATGTGCCACCACCTTGGCTAATTTGTGTGTGTGTGTGTGTGTGTGTGTGTGTGTGTATTTTGGTAGAAACAGGTGTGTCACTATATTATCCAGGCTGGTCTTTAACTTCTGGGCTCAGGCAATCCTCCTGCCTTGGCTTCCCACAGTTCTGGGATTGTAAGCATGGGACACTGTGCTTGGCCCAAGAATAAAGTAGAATGAGGCCAGGAGCAGTGGCTCATGCCTGTAATCCCAGCACTTTCGGAGGCCAAGATCGGCAGATTTCCTGAGGTCAGGAGTTCAAGACCAGCCTGGCCAACATACTGAAACCCCATCTCTACAAAAATACAAATGATAATAATAATAACCAGGTGTGGTGGTGGGCACCTGTAATCCCAGCTACTCGGGAGGCTGAGGCAGGAGAATCGCTTGAATCCAGGAGACAGAGGCTGTGGTGAGCCAAGATTGCACCATTGCATCCAGTCCCAGCAACACTGTGAGACTTTGTCTCAAAAAAGAAAGAAAGAAAAAAAAGAATGAAAATCAAATAGGACAAATGACAAAAGAATTAACCACACATCATGGGTTGTTGAGTAAATTTCACCTTCTGAAGCTTCTGCTTCTGCAACACTGAAGGTCATCCAGAACACGCAGGTGGAAATGGACCAGCTGTTGTGACTCCCAAGCACCCACATGAGGTGGTCAACAGCCACCGGCCCAAGTGCCCCCAGCCCCGGCTCCTGTCCTTATCTTGGAATCTTTCAGAACACAAAGCGGCACACCCAGGTGTCACCACCCTGGCTCTGGCACAGGACCAGCATCTGCTCAGCCTGTGTGTGTGTGTTTTCAATGCCCTGTGTATTTTAGGTCAAAATGTTACATGTGTTTCATATCATGGGTAAGAATAAAAACAGCCCGAAATCTGCTATTTGAAGGTTTGTGGGGGCAGTTGGAGGTTTTGGGAGGTTCTGGGGGCTCACGCTGAGCCTGTGTCTGTCCTTAGATGGGATGTTGATATTGAGAGACTGGGGTGATAAGGACCATCAGGAGGCATCTGGCCCACACCCTAGCCTGGTCACGGAGGAGACGGGGCACAAGAGGTCTCATCTCCTACCTGTCACGTGGGCCTGGTCACTCAGCAGATGGCTCAGCGATGCAGAGATGCCAGCTTGCTGCCCGCCAGCCACGTGAGGTTCCCTGTAAAGATGACAGGGCTGCCCCCATCACCATTTTCATCTCCAGCTGCACCTGGAACTGCTTGGCCTTTCTGACCATGGGTGGCTACAGGTCAGTCTTGCCCTGAAAAGTCCTTCTTGTCACCTGGAATGACAGGCTTGGCCAGCAAGCCCAGCCATGATCACACAAGCTGAGACCAAAGAGAGGGCAGGAGACAGCCTAGCTAATGGCTTTCTATGCCAATCCTTCCCCAGTTTTTGATTTTTCTTGAGACGGTGTCTCACTCTGTCACCCAGGCTGGAGTGCAGTGGCAGGATCCTGGTTCACTGCAAACTTGGCCTCCCGGATTCAAATGATTCTCCTGCCTCAGCCTTCCAAGTAGCTGGGGTGACAGACACACACCACAGTGCCCAGCTAAATTTTGTTTTTAGTAAAGACAGGGTTTTGCCATGTTGGCGAGTCTGGTCTCAAACTCCTGAGCCCAAGTGACCTGCCCGCCTTGGCCTCCCAAAAGTGCTGGGATTACAGGTGTGAACCATTATGCCTAGCCCTTCCCCAATTTTTTAAACTCTGGATTTCTCAAAATTAGAAACCTGTGTTATAAACTCAGACACAAATACAAAGGACTTCTCTTCTCTCCTTGACAACTCCCTCATTGGATCCATCAGGAACTCAGTCAATCATCGCTATGGAATGTGACTAGAGTCAACCCCATCTGCCACCTCCACCGCACACCAGCTCCAGCCCTGGTCATCGAGCCTGTCTGACTGCAACATCCTCCTGGCTCTCCTGGATCTCATCCTGCCACTGGCAACTGATCTCCATATGGCGACCAGACACGTCCAATGATGGCACAGTAGCGTTTCTTACCGTACAATCCAAAGTCCTTGAGGCCTGTGAAGCCAGAATTTTGTTGGTCACTGGTGCAGACACTGGCAGGTGAGCCACGGGGACAGCTCACTACAATCCAAGTCCCCACACAGGAGATCTTCTAGAAAAGCCATGAGCAACTACAAATGCCATGTTTGATAGCCCTGCCAACTTGCAGACACACCCCACACACTCCTCTGACAGCCACTAGCTAGTCAGTTCACCCAAAAGATGTCAAAACAATACTCACTATTACCAGATCGTCACCACTTAATGCTGTGTTTCCCTGATCCCCACCGACATGTGTGCAGATGTGTGTGTACGAATGTGTATGCATCTGTGTACAGATGTATCTGTACATGGATGTGTGCAGATGTGTATGTTTACAGATATACGGAAATACACAGATATGTGTGTATATAGTGACGTGTACATGGATGTGTCTATATGTAGACATGTGTATGAATGTGTGTGTATACAGATGTGTGTGAGGATGTGTGTAAAGACGTGTATATATACGGATGTGTGTATATGAATGTATGTATACAGATATGTCTACATCTGGATGTAGATGCTCGCAGCTCTTCCTGCTGACAGGCACATCCTAGTGCCGGCTTTCTCCAGTGTGTATCAGAGGCTGCGCGGTGGCGTCAGAGCTTCCTCAGGGTGCACGTGAACAGGGTGAGCACAGAATTTCTCTCTCAAACCACAATACTTTGCAGTTAAAGAGAACACTAGTCACAAATGCGTCAGGTCAGCAGGTGTAAACTGGGGCTCTCCAGGCAACCCAGGAACCAACCCCCACACACCGGGGTAGGGGGTGCCAAACAGAACACTTCCCACACCAACCTTAAATCCCACAAACTTTAAGGTTGAACCCAAGCCTCGAACCCCTGGGCCCAGGGATTCGAGGTTGAACTCAAGCTCTGGCACTTTGTATTCATGAGGTCACCTGCCTCAGTTTCCTTATCTTGTATGGGGTTACAAAGAGGGCTTGAAGAAGGGACCTCCTGTCTGCTGGAACAGGCTCCAGAAAGTTACAGAGCACTGGCTGTTACTGTAATTGTGA